ATCGACTGGTTTAGCTGTCAAATATGATCTATTATTTTGTGACGACTATAGTGTAACTAACACGACTTTGTATTTATAGATATGAAATTACTCTGACATATTATCCTCTGAATCACTTGATTCTGAATTCTCTGAACTTGAGTCAGAATCATCTTGTAAGTTTATAATGAATTCGTCCATCACAGTATCATATCTCATATCATGATTCCAGTATTCTTGTTCGTTTTTTTGTACGTGGTCGTCGCATTTTTGCCATTGTTCGGCAGAAAATTCAGAAAATAGTCTTGTTAGTATTGTAATTTTCTCGTCCAATGTAGCATTAATGTGATCTCTGGCCAGGCAATTTTTTATATTTGCCCACACAAGCTCGATTGGGTTGAGATCTGGATGATATGGAGGTAGTCTTAGAACAGTATGACCTGCACCTTTCAGAAGTTCATCAATCGTGTATATTTTTTCTGATTGGGTCGTATTAATCAAGCCCAAGAGTTCAGCTTTGACCATCGTGGGAGAAAAGGGCACGTTATGATTTTGCAACCAATTCTGCATATTAATTTTCATACAGGACATAGTCGGTTTCTTCTCAACTTGCACACAGTGGTAAGCTGCATTGTCCATAACTATGACTGAGTTAGGTGGAAGTTTAGGTATTAACTTTCGATCAACCCAGTTGTAAAAATTTGTAGAGTTCATGTCTCCATGATAGTCTCCTGTTTTTGAATCTGATTTAAAAATTAGCAGAGCATCGTCAACTAACCCGTTCCGACTACCAGCGTGAACTATTATTAAACGCCTTCCTTTGCCTATATCTGCATAAACACCAGGCTCCGACGAAGATTGCCAACATTTTTGGACATTATGACTTTGGTTAACGTAAGTTTCGTCCAAAAAGAATATATTTCGTTTGTCTTCTCTGAATTTTCTTATGGCCCTCAAATATTTCACTCGCCATTCAACAATGTTTGGTCTCTCTAATAAAAGGGATCTCTTCGATTTACATTTTTTAAATGAATATC